AGCCTGGTCTACAGAGTGAGTTCCAGGACAGCCCGGGCTATACAGAGAAACCCTGTCTCGAAAAAACAAAAAAAACAAAAAAAAAAGTGGAGGGCCCTGCTGGGCATAGGTGGAAGAAGAGAACCTTGACCTCATGAAGGCTGGATGCCCCAGGGGGTGGGAATTTTGAGGGTGGGGAGGTGGGAGTGGGGGGGGTAGATAGAGGTTACATCCACAGAGAAGAAGGAGGAGGGGCGAGGGGATTGGGGGTTCCGAGGGGGTGGTGGGGGATGGGGTAAGGGGACAACATAGGAAATGTAAATAAATCATCCAATAAAAAAAAAAAAAGAAAGAAAGAAAGGTGTGGGTGTAGAGAGTGCCTCTGCAGTCGCTGCTGTTGTAGACCACCGGGATGCGGCTCCCATGGTGCCTCACACGCAGCTGCAGTTCCAGTCTCACTTTCAAGGACATGGCATACACACAGTACACATACAGGCAGATACATGCAGGCCAAACACAACACATAAGAGAAATATACAGTTTTTGGTCAGGAAGGGCTGTGTACTTCATACATGCTAGCTAGGCACACTTTACATCACTGGCCCCTTTACCTTGAGATGGGAAGTCTCACTAACTTGCCCGTGTTTGCTGGTGGAGAGGGATTTGGTGTCCTAGGGAGGCCTTTTCTGTAGTAGCTGAAAATAGAGGCACGGGCCCTGAGGCCTGGATATCCCAAGTTTTTAATGAGCCTGGCAGGCACAGGAGAAAATTTAGCACTTTGGTCTCAACACACCCCCATACCCTACTCCCCCTCCCAACCCCCCTACTCCCTACCCCCATTTGGTTTTGGCTATGCACACTGCCTCCTCTTGTAATAATGCACTTGACAGCCTAATTCTTTCATCTGCTTCTACTGTATACCCACATACCCCTCTCCAAATGGACTTTCCGGCCTCAGAGCCCCTTGACCTCCACCTGCATTTGGCTACATGAACCCCCTCTTTGAACAATAGTTTAGGTTTCCTACCTCCAGTAACAGTCAAATTTAGACAATTTCTATCCTATCCACTGATGAATACAAGTGTCAATCTGGCCTGACCTAGCTTTGA